AAGGGAGATATCTAATTCTGTTAAAGATGCATTAGGTAAGATTAGATAAAGAGCTGACAGTTCTCCCTATCATAGTTAAAACTAGATAATGGAAATGGAATATCGTGAATTTTTTTTTGTCAAATTCCTTCATTCTAAACGACGTTAGAGCTGTTTAAAGAATAGCAGAGTCTCGATTGTCATTTCGGTAACGCTGTAAAGTCTCGGGGGGTTGGATGGGCGAATGGCTGAATGGTTAGCTTCCTCCCACTGCTAAAGACCCCTACGCTCAAGCGAATTATGGAAATAAACTTGAACCATATGTTAGTCCCGAAATGACCTAGTTTGTGTCGAGTGTACGTTAAACTCCATCTTTTTTTTCTCTCTCTCTCTGTAATGTCTCGATTATCCATTTGTATACTTCCATTTCTTGTATTTGTTTCTTTGTCGTCTACAGACCTCATTTCTTAACATATCATCTTGAAACTTTGCATACTTATTCTTTGTCCCCTAAAGCCTGTTTTCCACTAGGCGAATTTTTTCGCGCGAAGGCATGCGCAGTATAATTTCAGGCGACGCCACACTTTTCGCTGGCTCTTTTCTCTGCGAAAGAGTGAGTTCGACCAGTTTCTACTTTCCAGCCGCGAAAAAAGGAGCAAGCCAATCAGAATTCCGTAAACTCTCACGTGGTAATACAACTCACGATGTCAAGGCCACCCCATTCGCGTTTCTCCCCGCAAACAAAATGACTGAACTGAATTTGACGTCTGCGTAGCAGTAAAATTTTAATCAATCTTACCTTTAACAAGAGTATATATCTCAGATTAAAAGCAGCAGCCATTGAATACAAGCGCGGTTGCTCGAAATCTTTCGCGGCGAAAAAATTCGCCTAGTGGAAAACAGGCTTCAGGAACATCCCTATCGTTTTTGGTACATGCCCAACCCCCATTTGCAAAGCCATGCCCATTTTCTTTTCTGTGTGTCCGTGTGTCGCCTACAAGCCACAATTCTTAATCAATTGTCTTGAACAATTTACGTATGAATTCCTTATACCCTAAGGATGATCCCTATTTGTATTTGGTGCATGCCCGACCCCCAGGGGCAGAGCCACACCTATTTCTTGTATTTATTTGTTTGTTATCTACAGACCGCATTTCTTAACTATCACTACTCTGTGAAACATTGCATACTTATTCTTTGTACCCTAAGGAACATCCATATCATTTGGGGTACATTGCCGACCGCCAGGGGCTGAGCCACGTCCATTTATTTTTGTGTGTCTGTGTGTCACTTACAGCCCGCAATTTTTAATCGATCGTCTTGAAAACTTTTTTATACTTATTCCTTATACTCTAAGGCTTACCTCTATTATTATTTTTAGTGCATGCCCGAGCCCCTTGGACAGAGCCACGCCCAATGGATTATCTTGGAACTTTGGTATACTTATTCCTTATACCCGAAGAACGGCAACTATTGATGTTGGTGCACGACCCCCTCCTCCACCCCAACCCCTGCCCTTTGGGCGGTGCCACATCCACTTTTTGTTGATATTATGTCTGTAAATGATATACAGGTTGCAATTATTAACAGATTTGGATCCAATTTGGAATGATGCAGCTTAAGATTGGTCCATGTCCAACCCTCAGGGGCAGTGCCACGTTTAATTTTTGTGTTTTTTGTCTATAGGCTTGGATTCTAAATGGATCATCTTGGAACTTGACATATTTATACCTTATACTGTAAGGATAGCAACTATTTATTTTGGTGCATGTCCCGACCCCCAGGGGTGTGGTACCACCCCCACTTTTTTGTTAGTTTCTGTCGGTAAATACTCTACATGTTGCAATAAATAACAGATTTTGTTCAAATTCAGCATATCAATCTTTTCAATAACAGGTTGGTACCTATTTACATGTATATTGTTCCATATCTAACCCCCAGGGGCAGAGCCACGCCCAATTTTTGTATTTATCGTCTACAGGCTCCAATTCTGAATGGATCATCTTGGAATTTTACATATTTATTCCTTATACCGTAAAGACAGCAACTATTTATTTTGGTGCATGCCCCGATCCCTTGGGGCAGTGTCTCACCAACTTTTTTTTGTATAATATTTTGTCTGTAAATTTGGCAAAACAAACGCCTAGCCTTCTTCGCCTCTTGTCATATCACAGCCATTTCATATTTCATTCTCTTCATTTTAAAAAGTACCATATCAATCAAAGCAGGAATGTGGACGTATAGGAGCTTTTACGCGTGACGTACTTCCGGTGTCTATTTTTGGCCTGGCCTTTTTCTATCCGTATCTTAACATGGTAAATGCTAGGGAAAGCGGGGTTTTCCCTCTTTTTCTCTTTATAGAAAACGTATTCTTTAATGCCACTCTTGTTTTAAGTTGCGTGTAGCATTCGTAATAAATTACCGATTTCAAATCATGTCTAAGTTATTATTTTTTTTGTTTTAATGACGATATACTGCGTTGTAGCAGACGATATATGTCAAGCTCGCACACGGCCCAGTTGACCGCAGTACGCAAAAGCATTACAAAGATGCATTGCCGTATGAAGCCGATTTATATGTTTTGTTTTAATTTTACTGCAAACAATTAATAGATAACATCTGTTTGGTTGTAAAATGCCATGAAATAGAGCATATTTATAGAATGGGTAATTAGAGATGGTGACCTGCGGTTCCACAAAAGAATTATTCAAGACGATATTAAAATTTAAGCACGACCGTATCACATCTAATAAAAAAGAGAACAAATAATAATCACAATGTATAGAATGCACCGAGTCCAGTTACATATTTTCATTCAACAGTTGTTCTCTGAACCAAATACTGAATTAGAAATTGATAAAATGGACACAAATGTATCGTTCTTCTTCTTGGTTGCGGCAAGATAAACTAATTGGATTAAAATTTCACTGAGTGCCAAAAACTGAGCCAAGACGATTTATGTGACTACAATTAACAGAAAAAAAACGGTTTTAAAAAATATTCACAGATTCAACTTGATCGTCGTTTTATTCTTTCTGTTATTCATATCCCATCAATCAAGAGAAAAATTTATAAAAATGGCTGAAGTTTTACCCCGTGCACCAAATAACTATTTTATCATTGGTAAGAGCCGTCTAAACGCGGGGAAATTTACAATAGCTATTGGCTAACAGCACGCACGCATGCATAAACAATCTTATTTGCATATTGCATACTATTTATAGTATTATTAGCTGGAATTATTTTCAAGTCGACAGCCTCAAACAAAGACCAACATAGTACCGTGTTTTGTGTCGAGGACGTAGGGTCGTGGCATGCAGTGCTATAGCAGACGATATATCAACCTCGCAAAGATCTGTCCAGTCGGCAGTTGAATGTAAATAGGATAGACCATTTTTAAAAATCTTTTGTGTTAATAGTCCCGTAATTAATATATAACATCTGTTTGACCGTAAAATGCGTAATAAACTTCACTTAAGTTTAGTTCGGGCGATTGAGCACGGATCAGTCATCCACATGTTTCAATTGCAAACAGCCAATTACGGGTCTGGTAAACTTGCCGTATCTTTCCTATATCGAAGTTTTTGTAAATATCGTTTTCTGTCATCGGTCGGTAAACCTTACGCGTATATAGAAATGGCATTCAGTTCCATTTTATGTAAAAGAAGCTTACTGTACGACGGTATTTTCACAAAAAAACACACACTGGCCTATGGGTTTCAGTCTAAGAATAAGGCCAATGTCTGCGCATGACCGAAAATGACGTCAAAATGAAAACCCGTAAAAGCCCCTATATTGCAGCGTTAGCGATGCTCTTGTTAAATTAAGTCACTAACCCCAAATCGTGTTTAAATCTGTTGAAAATCAAGAGCATCCGATGACATAGAGAGTTGATTATGATCTTGACAATAAATGTCTAATTAATAATTTATATAGCTCTTGCATAATGCGTCTTTAAATTGTCTAGTAAACAATTTTTTACCATTAGTCTAAATATCTCAGCATATTTGTGCCAACCACAGTAATATATTATTAGATAATTATTTATTTTGATATGTTAAATCAACCTTTCCCCGATGGTTAATTTATTACTTCAAATTTTCTCAATTTCCAAATGGTTTCAATATTTTGGTTCTTGGTTATTTATATCAATTGTTGCGGTCATAGGATTATAGAAATTGGGTAGCTTGCAAGGTTTGAAACGCATGTTCATCATGATAAACACAATCCAGTGCTAATAATAATTTACCCACATTTATGTTTTTCTTTTAATTTCTTTAAGGGATTTACGATCATGCGTAGTAAAGACAACATCTCTCAAATGGTGACCAACCAGTACTCAATTTCCGAATTTCAAGTTGAGGTATGTATGCATAATATTCGTGTCAGAGATGACATCTCTTGTACGTTATCATAACAAATAATGTACGTGTTAGTTCATATGCGGAAGCGTCCAGTTACGAATACATACCAGATTGGGGTGCGTGTGTGTGGGGGGGGGGGGAGGGTAAATACTCCCGGTAGATGTATATTTATTTTTAAATATAAAGTTTGGTCATGCTAATATTGCCCGGGGTTATTTGATGATCAAAAAAATTAAATGAACGAAAGTAAACTATTATTATTTATTAGTATTATTTATATGTTTATTGGCCTTGCCATATAAAATTTCGTGAACTCCGTGACATATATTGTAGAATTATGGCCCATGCTATCTTTGTAGATTCTTGCGAATGCTTTAATATATATCGTTGAATCTACATGAACTTTATATTCTATATTTGAATTATATAAGTCCTTGTTTGCCTCACTGTATAAAACGTTTGAATTTTATTAATTAAAAGAATCACAATGCAACAAACGTTTTGGACCTCAGGGATGAGATATTTGAATGATTAATACAGCCCTTAACATTTCTATTTCAGAATAATATAGCGTTTGAAACAAAAGCGAAAGGGTTAGCTTTTTTAGCCTCCATGTATAAGTTCTTTAATACCAAGACAATAAACGTCACTGAAACCAAGGAAAACATTAATATGGAATATGGATATTTATACCTTTACGCTCGGGCACAGGATAATATTAATCTAAATTTTATGTCCGCAAAATATCATGGTGCATCAGAGGGCGTGGTATATTCACCAGCAAATGGTAGACATTTCGAAGAAGGCGAAATCTTACGAAAAGATAAGCTCTCTACGAAAATGAGCCGCAGTATGCAAATGCTAGATATTCAAAATGAGGAAGTTTCTTCAGAGAGCGTCGACCAAGTAGATTCAACAGAAGATGGGCCTGACAAGTACGTGACGGACGGTAACGATCAACGTTCTTCAATGAAAAGATGGAAATTCGCTTCTTCCAAGACCTTTCGGCATAGTATGCTTCGATTTTTAGATGTAATCACCCTAATGTTTGGTGGACCTGACAAGTACGTGACGGACGATATCGATCAACGTTCTTCACTGAAAAGATCAAAATTCCCTTCTTCCAAGGCCCTTCGGCATAATATGCTTCGACTTTTAGTTGTAATCACGGTGTTTGGTGCTTGCAGTAAGTACATAACATTATATTATTAACCTTAAAATATTGGGTTAGAATGGAACATTAAGCCCAGACAAGTTTCGAGTTAAATGCAGACGTGTCCATTTACTTGTCGTTTAACAATAGTTTGCTGTACTCTGCTGGTGGCCTTCGGTCCCGAGATTATCTTAAACCCAATAGACCTCGACTTTTAAATTCCAGATCCAATTCATCGCCCGGTTGAATACAAGCAGTGTTGGATATCGGGTATGCGACAGGGTATGTTTAATTAACCAAGCAAAAACATAGCTAATTTTTATTACAGGTGGATGCACACTACCAGATATGAATGCTAGTATAACAAGTTGTGTTATATTAAACTGTTCTGTCGGAACATTAACCTGGTCGTACATTCCCTCAGATGTTGAGAATGAAATAATATTATCTACCTCGGTAAGCATATGTACCTCTGCTAACTACATCACAGTAAACTTTCAGGAATCAAATCAATATTTTGTAAACTAACATCCTCACAGAAAAACATAATTTAAAACTTTTCCATCAATTTTGGACGAAACTATAAACAAAAACGGGCATGCAAAAAGTGGAAAAGGATATGTCAAGAACTTCAGAAATAATTGATGGGTCGGTTTATTTTTGTATCGGGGAGTTGGATGGTCGAATGGTTTAACGCGTGCGCGTTAGATCATACGGTCATTAATTGTGCCAAGTGCAATGGTTTCTATTACCAGCGTGAACGTGGCGAGGAGCAGAAGAGTCGCCTTTCCAACCCCGTGGGTTTATCCGGGTCTTCCGGCTTCCTCCCACTGCTAAATAAAACTGAACCATATGTTATTCCCGAAATGGCTTAGTTTGTGTATAGTGGACGTTAAACACCATTTTCGCTCTCTTTTTGGTGTCGAGCTATAGTTAATCCCCATTGGACGAAAGGATTGGGGATGTTGATGTAGGTGGTCATTTTGGACGTGTACGTAACAAAATCGAAATTTAACACACCAAAAAACTTCGTTTAGTCCTATGTAGAAATGGGAAAGAAGATTTTATGTTCATAAACACATTTGTATGTTTCATTCATATTAGAACAATTGTATATTTAAATTTTATTAGCACAATTTTATATTTAAATTTTATTAGTAAAATAATTGTGTTTCAATGTAATTAGCATAATATGTTCCCTATATATAGAAACGAATGATAGCCAAATGGAATATTAATGGTGATCTTATACAAACAATCAATGACGAGAGAATGCGATTTAATAGATCCGTGTCAAATGGTATAGAAAGCATTTCATTAACCATTTTCAACCCCATCCCTTTCGAGAGATCTAATGTAACGTATATTATTACGATTGTTTCAAGTAATGGCAGCCAACTAAGACAAGGTGAGTTGAAATAATAATATATTCTCTCATACATGTCTGACGTAATACGTAACGTTACGTACACGTCAATGTGTACACGGGTGGACATCGATTTTTTGCCATATCCGAATGACCTGGCGATTGACGATACTTTACTTGTAAGTCCCGCCTGTATGTCTATGTCAAACTGTATGTCTATGTTGATATTCTGAAATTGGTCTTTTGGAATATTTGCAGCTCTGAATTATGGCTGCGTTTTTCGGCTACTCTTCTTCGATTTCGAAAAAAAACAACGCACGACTTAGCAGTCTTTCCTTAACGGCCCCACAAAAATCACCGCTGACACGTGCAAGCCAGGTTTCAAAAACCTTACTTACTTACTTATTGGTACTTGTGCTTTGTCTCTACATATACTACGTACAATTGTACTTATACAATATAAGACCCCTTGGCTTGTATTCCATTTTTATGCCTATAAATTGTACAATATTTTCCAAATAAATATTGTCTTTGTGTTTCTGGCTTGATTTGTTCGCACATGTAGTTAGTATATAACTACGGTGGCTTTTAGTGCCATACATTGATTTATAATTTTTCTTGAAATTTACCTCATATGAGAAATCTCAGTAAAAACTATGATAAATAAAAAAAAACATGAAAAACCTTTCAACTGCAGTCTCCGCGGTGTACAGTGTACTCCACGCGGTGTTAACCTTTTCTCCGCGGTGTAAACCTTTTTTCTTCCGCGGTGAAAACTTTTTCTCCGCGGTGGTAAATCACATGCTTTCTCTGCAGAGAAGAGAAAACTTTATACCGCGTAGAAAAGGTTTACACCGGGGAGGAAAGGTTTACACCGCGGATTTATCATAGTTTCACTGCGATTTCTCACATGAGGTAAATTTTAAGAAAAATGTATAAATCAACGTATAGCACTAAAAGGCCATCGTATATAACTGTTGTTTTTTTTTCTCATTCACAATTTGGTTATTTTCTGTACTGATTAACAGCAAGCGCTGTACTCAGTGAAAAGTCTACAGTGCCAACAACTAAGGTGACTGACACAACAAGAACGCCTACAGCTTATAACACAAGAATTGATATTGTACCAACTGTAGTACTATCAGTCATAGTTTTATTACTGGGTGGTGTAGTTGGTGTAAGTTTCTTACGTTGTATACGAAGGTACGTTTATATTCTTTGCATTTTATACACACACATTTCAATTGGGAATAATTTTGATTTTGTCAGCACTCATGTCCACCCTTCCATTGATTCTGCCGTTCACAATTCTTGCAAACGCTCAACGGGATTTTTGTTTTTTCCAACATGTTGGAATTGTTCATCTGGTTAAGAACAAAGTTGCTGCCCTTGTCACCTAAACCCTGTAAACACTCTATGAGTCCCAATGTTTGACTTATTGAGTCTTGGGTGCATACAAGGCTTGACCAAGGGCATCACGAACCGCTGCACCCCACAGAATCCTAAAAACATTAACTTAATGTATAGAGTATACATCTCTGCGTAGAGTTTAGACTATCGGCTTTTAAATGTATATCAACAAGAAAATATTGAATGAAATCTGCTTTTGCATTACATGTTGAACCTTGACATGGGTTCAACATAAGACTTTTTATTATATCGATTTTTTGCAGGCGTATAAGATCAGTTGAAGACTCTACAGACGAAACAACGCCCGCATTGGTGCCTCCCACTTAGTGGTCTCTGTTGACACTTCATTATGCTTCAAATATTTTAATTATACATATATATGATAATACTTCAAAGATGCATTATGCTCGTCGTTCTATAATATATAGTTTAAACAGATAATGAAAAATGAATATATTGTAAATTTCAGACAAATTACTTTATTCTGAGCGAAATTGTGAGACTTGACAACACCATGGACCGTGTATAGATGGACAGGCAACGTCCACGAAGCCTTTAGAATTCTGTGCTGCGGCAAAAAGTAGACCGGTCAATCGTGACTAAAATAAAATTACCTCCCCTCGCGCAATTACGAGTATTAAGTTTAAAAAAAAAGAAACAGAAATCAATTCAGAATATTTTTATTAATCTTGCTACTGCATATTGGGTAATTATATTGACTCCAGTTAATCCACATTAAAGTATCACGTTTCGCTATAGATTACTGATAAAATTAAAACACCCTAATGTTATATCCATTAATGCCACCGTAAAAATGTTTTTCTATTCCTATGGATTCAAGTATTCATATATTGTATTAGTATTTCATATATTGTTTTCATTTAAAGTTTACTATAAGGTTTATTGTTGATAAAAATTAAAATCCTTTTATATTATGAACTTAAAAAAGAAATGAGATGACCGAGGAACACTAACCTATACTACATAACGTGCCTCTTTATGTATGTGTTTGTTTTAATATTATGTTATTATAGAATACATTTCTGCACTTTTTTGGGCATATACGTCTCCTATTGTATGCTGTCTAGTAAGCCAAACCCTCTCCATACAGCCCAAATTAGTTTCATAGTTAATTAAAAAAAAAAACTAAATATTAAACATATCTAGAAAATATTGGATTAAGGGACCAAATTATGATTACATCTTTTTTAAAAACAAAATATTTCTTACATATATTGGATTAAAGTCCCAATACGCCATTTGCATTTTTCGCAAAAATATCAAATTTCTCACAGATTAATCCACGCTAATATGTACCCAGATAGATTATTTAACATTTAATCAAGAAAACAAAATCAAAATACCAACACTAGATAATGTCCCGGTTAAAAGAAGGGCCTATCAATAAATCACGGCGGGCTTATTGCACAACGAGCAGAATAGATCGGTAAAATTTCAATTCCACATATCTTTGAAAATACTGAACGGACTGATATTCCTGTTAGAGATTCGTCTTTCACAATGTTGTAGTTTGCAAGTGAGAGCTAAAATGACGCATCGGGACTTTAAAAGACCATAATTCCATAATAAATTATCTTCTTTATTAGAATAATAAAATATTTATTGATAGAAATCTGTGGATCGATACATAAACCGGATACCTAACATCATGGTTAAAAATGTGCTACATGATTAATATGGTTTAAACAATATTCTATTTCTATTATAACATTGTGGATCTGAAAACAAGCCATAGCTTATATAGATTATCTCCATGTAAATTATAGATTTCAATAACATTGCTAAAATGTACAAATTTCAAAAGTATATATTTTAGATTTTTACAAATAAATAAATAAGTAAGTTAGTACATAAATAAGTAAATAAATAAATAAATCATCTTCATGGTCATCATCGTCATTATCATCGTCATTATCATCGTCATTATCATTATTTAACACAACCTGGCAATTAACTCATTTATTCAAAGCGTTTGGTTAGTTTTAAATACTTGTGAACTTTACTAAAAATCACTTCGTTGTACGATCTACTTTCGTTGGGGTCGCCAATCGGAACGCCTTTGTATGTTTGGATTTAAATGGGAAGGTGTTGAATGTTGAGATACGCTGAGACGATTAATTTGGGCAGTGCAGAAAATAATGGTCGCTGTCGCTGTCGGATTATATGAAATATGCATTAAAAATCTATGGAAGTTTAGAGCACTTTTATAATTACGAAGTCTGGAATGTATAATCTGAAATTTACCTTCTGCATAGTAATAATATTTGGGTATTTTGTGATCGTTCACAGTTATCTTAATTTTGAAATTTTTATAGTGGAGGCGTTTTGCGTATCGTAAGAAAGACTGTTCCATTGGTCAACTGTTGAAGGCAAAAATGAGTTCTTATAGTAATTAGAGAAACTATCTGTTTCAATTCATTGTTATTACGAACAGGGTAAGGATTTACTTCAGAAAATTTTAGGTTGTACTAGAAGAAGACTTAAGAAAGGGGGAACCAATTTATTGACCATTTTAAACATAAGAATAAGCTTGTGCCTTATACGTCTTGTTGATAGTGGGTTATATCCAGATTCACAGTAAAGTACATGTATAATGTGATAGTCATTGCCGTATTCTATCATATAGAAAATAATAAAACATTTTCATAATTTAATTTTAAAGTTCTAAAAAATAATCTTTGATAGCGATTGGTATTGAACTAGTCGATTTTTGGACACCATTTCTTAATCTCAAATTTTTTTACGGATTATCAGGTTTCTGTATTGACCCACAGAATTCATTGTTTGTAATTATATCTGCATATATATTGCTTTATAGATGTTGTTTTCCATAACGCTCTCTACATAAATAGTATAATGAAGTTTCAACATTTTTTTTTTAGAAATTCGCTACAATTTTGTACTGTATTTGCTTTAAATAAACTTAGTTTATTAAGTTATTGCATTAATTTGGGAAATTTGCTACGTGTGGGAGGCTCTATTGTTGCAGACGTATCCATTCATTACCTACACTCAAGTAATTAGGAGGGCAGATCTTTGGTGTACGGGCAAATAGTGTTGTACAGTTTATATTCAAGTTTCCGCTGACGAGCAGGGCACCCTAGCAGTTGGTTAAACTGGAGAACCGGGGGAAAACCCACAAGGTTAAACATAATCTAACCCACGGACCCAAAATGTAATTAGGAGACGCAATCATCATTATTTCCTTTTCTTTAAATACCTTAAAAAAGATTATGTCTTTATATTGCTGGTAATCTACGCATAGATATTCATCTTTAAACATGAACATGTCCCGGATAGGGTTACCATTCGCCCCGGTTTGACTGAAACAATCCCTGTTTTAGGGGTCCTTATTGCCATTACGTCCCGTTGCCTCTCACATGCACAAATGTTCCGGTTTTTAATCGTGTGGTTTCCAACAGAAAACAACAACACAAAACACATAGTTTTTATCATCAAGGAGTGTCACAAGTGGATGGCTCTTTGCTTTGACGGGGTTGGATATCAGAATGGTTAACGCGTGCGTGTTGAATCATGAGGTCTGTCATTGAACCAAGTGGCGTAGTTTCGATTTCACGCTTGTACGTGACAAGGAATAGGATCCCCATCCAACTTCATGGGTTTTCTCAGGGTCCTCCGTTTTCCTCCCACAGGTAATGACCCCTACGCGCAGCGAATTATTGAAATAAAATTGAACGATATGTCAGTCCCGAAATGACCTCCCCCTCTCTCTCTCTCTCTCTCTCTCTCTCTCTCTCTCTCTGCTTTGAGTTATCTCCCATACACTATATCTTGGACATCGCTTACAACGGTCAAAATAGCAATTCATTTGTAAATATAATATGACACTTTTAGCGAATAATAGTTAGGGTTAAAAATACGGTGAAAATCTCAAATCGCTCTCAATGATTAATTAAGGGAGATTAGCAATATTCATTAGCAGTATTCATTAACGTCGACTCGTCACAAACTATGGACCCTACAATACACACACTAGGACATTTCGGGACTAACATATGGTTAAATTATATTTTAACTAATTTATATCAAATTTGAAGTGAAACATTAGGATAAACCCTATCGATATTCGACATTCCGTGACATTCTAACCCGGAGTTGCCTCCGCTTTTTCTGATATCTTGCCAAACGATGAAGTCTGCCGTTTCTATTGTGTTTTTCATTTCCTTCAAATTTAGTGTGAAATCTTGTTTTTTTTCCCAATATAATCGAAAACACTGGGCATTCACGAGAGGAGTAGCGCTATCCTTAATAGAGCAGTCAATTTATGAAAACAAGGGGTCAACCCCTAAAAAAAGTGCAAGAAAAGGGTATTTGATGGTTTCTGGTACTTAAAAAAGTTTTCCCAAATGGGGTACCGGAAAGTCCCGAATTTTTAGGGTAAATGTCAGACAAGCACAAAATCATCAATTTTTGAGAGAAATACATGAAAATCTATTCCTTAGGTTGTTGGGGTAAATCGTTTGGCTTTACCATTTTAGGGGTATTACACCCAAAACATGCGGCCCAGAACCCTAATTAATATTAGGGCATAACTCTGCACTATTTTATTATAAAATAGCAAGTTTGGCCTCTAAATTAATATTATTTGGGGCATTGTTTCATTTGAAGATATATATACCTAGTTGTTGTAAATGGTCCCTTATTCCATTTTCGGGGATACCCCAAGCCCCACAACCTGAGACCGAAACCCCAAATGCACAAATAGGAATATGCATAACTCGGCACTGCTTTATAATAATAATTACAGCAAATTTGATATCTGAACTAATGTTTTGGGGGCCAATATTTCATTTGAAGATATGCTCAGTGGTGTTATGTGGTTCCTTATACCATTTTCGGGGTAACCCCTACCCAAAAACATGTGGCCGCGAACCCAAATTTACGAATATTGGTAACTCTGCACTATTTCATCTCCTGACATATTTGGTACGTAGATGTTTTTGGTGGGACACCCTTTCCTCCATAATCTGTTGTCGTGGTAGAAGAGTGAAACCAGATAAGAAAATAGATGTGCAAGAAATTATTTACCAGTTTGCTCTGCATAGAATGAAACGTGCTGCCATCTATGATTTCTAAAACACGTGGAGTTGCTCTTCTTTAACTGGGCCAACTTTTGCTAAAATACGTGTTTACTGTCATACATTTGGTGTAACCTCAAGGTAAGGTAAAACTTCAATACATGTGGCGGACTTCTACTTTTCGAGTTGCATTTTGGCTTGTGTAGCGTGATGTGGACTTTTAACTTAATCATATTTTTGTAAGAAAGGCGCTAACACGCATAGCAAGCAAAAATGCAACTCGAAAAGTAAAAATTAGGAAATTTACACACCGCGATATTAGCGACCTATCATTTTGGTTTGCTGTCGTGCTGCCGATTTTTCGAGTATCGCCTCGGAAACTGTTGTAGTCTCTGCATTCCAGGTCACATTTGAATACGCGCAATTTGAGTACCATTAAAGCCAGCAAACATGGGATCTGTTCTATAAATAACTACCAAAATGTTAATCTAATTATTCTGTGTATCATATTGTAAGACCAGTTATGTTTTAGCAGTAATGAATCTTGAGTTCAGCAGCACATTTTGAGGTGATTTGAGGTACCGTGCTAAGAATGAGTGCCAGTCTGCATGGTGATAATCGGTGCTAGCATTATTGATACGTAATGCACCATTTCCACCAACAATGGCCGTTTTCGTTATTGTCGAGCTCTTCTTGATAGAATGGACAAGTTTCTTGGCCAACGCTTTCATTTATTCTTAG